GGAGGCTGGCAACCAGGCTTCTCCAGTGTATAGTGGCGAGGTTGGTTCCGCCACAGTTGAGTCCAGCATTGATGGAGTCCACAGGAAGAGAGCGCCAGGAACCTCAGATGACAACCGGAATGTGGTGGAGGTCTGGAAAAGGTTCATTTTTGACATATGGAAACATCTAACAATGGTACAGAGCTCATGGCTGAGAGTTTTCGGTCACTACTAAACCTAGTAGACTAGACTACTAAACAAGACATGAGACCTCAATACCTTACTGAATAGTTCTGCTGAGAGAAACTGGAAAACACTATTTGAAATTACAAGTTGTCTGTTGATTGAAAGTAAATTGCCAAAGGAATTATGGACATTATTGAATTGAGTGCTTCTGAGATCCAAAACAGGTGCTTTAATAACCCTCGAGTACAATTTACAAACGTCATGTTATCTGTTAACAGGGCAAAAGATCTAACCTTTCTAAAATTAGGATTTTAGGTATGAATGTTATGCATAGAAGTATAAGAGAAAGAAGATACATTTGAAATGTAAGATAGAAATCTTTGTTGGATATGACAAGAACAAGAACAAGAACCTCTTATGTCTGTGTTGGAAACCCTTCCTGGTTCTTAGTGTATTATCCTGGAACTAAGAAGGTTGTCAGATACAAAGCTTGTGAAATTTGTTACAAAGAAAGCTGTTGAAAGACAAACTCAAACTGTTTTATTGAATAATGAAGAGAACTGTCACAGATAGCAATTTGACATTGTTTCCGAAAACAAAACTGAAGTAGAATTCTCAGATCCAGATCTCCTCAAGAAGTGATGAGAATGATCAAACAAGGAATGATCATGGTAAACACTACCCTAAAGGAAATAGAAAAGTTCCCTAGTACTTGAAAGACTGTGTTTCAGATTCCAGAAATAATGACCATGCATTAACAAACATTGAATATTGTTACCACAAACCTCTATAGATGCCATGCACTCACCCAAGTCACATTCAATGCTATGAAACAGGAAATGTGTGCACTAAGAGAAAACAACACATTCACTTTGGCCACATTTGGCCACATTGCCAGAAGGCAAACCTTTAATGATGTGGGGGAGAGGGTTAATGGGTGTACACAATGAAAAACAAAATTGATTGATCAGAAATGTATAAAGCCAGATATGTTGCTAAAGGTTATAATCAAGTAAATGGAGTTGATTAAGAATAATTATTCTATCTAACTGTAAATATTACATCAGTACAAATCTTAATGTTCTTCTTCAAATGGCTGCAGAAACAGCTTACTTAAAGGACCACTATAGTGCCAGGAAAACATACTCGTTATCTTGTGCTAGACGGAGATTGCGTTCGATCCCTTTCTTGAGATCGCGACCGGTACGGGTGAAATAGGTGGAGACCATCGTGCCGAACTTGGGCGTCATAGCGACCTTGTCTGGTAAGGTGGGCCTGGAGCACTCAGCCCTCAATCTCTTCCGAACTGCCCAATCGAAGGGTCTGTGAAAACAATAATGGTTGAACTGGGCCAGATGTTCAGGTAGGGACAACTCACAACTGGTGGCCACGTGGAAAAGCTCCGGTCGGCGGGTGTAGCGCTCGTATCGCGAGCACCCCGCGACCAGAGGAGCAGATATACATGGGACTGCTGGAGATGTACTCCACGGTCCTGAGGCCTCGGGGGGATTGGAGGAGGCAGCAACAGGCCGGCCTGCAGAAACCCCGAGCAGAACAAAACCCGTGAGCAAGGAAAAACCGGGTGAAAAATGAGAGGGGACAGGTAAAGGGAAAAGAGCCCCAGAAGTAAAAATAGTAAAGGGAAGAAACTCCCCACTATCCCAGAGGGAAAGAGAAAGGCAGATAGCTTACACTACAAAAAACAAAAACAGTCCCCAAATAAATAATAAAAGAAAATATAATAATATAAACAATTATACAGAGAACTATTAAAATCCCAAAGCCACCAACTTATATTAGCAGGAGGCAGTGGTACTCTGACCTGTACTGATGCAGAGCAGCAAAGTAAGAGGAAATGGAATGTTAAGAAGGGAGTTATATGGTCTCCTTACTGTTTTCTGATTGGTTGTTTACTCTCTGTGTTTTTTTTGCTGCTGTGGAGGTCTAGTAAAGAGAGAATTAAGCAAATATGAAGCCTCCTGTCATGTTATAAAATTATTGTAGTAAATTTACATTCTGCTAGCATTCTTTACTTGTTATTATAATTTTATTATTGTATAATTATTGTAGTAAATTTACATTTTGCTAGCATTCTTTACTTGTTATTGTAATTATATTAAATATATATTTAACATTACAACATTTTGCGTATATTCGACCATAATTTCATGAACTATAAAAAAAAAATGTTGTTACGTATTGCTTAATTATTTTATATTAATTAAAAAGCTTACTATTCATATTTAAGTCACGGCCACAACAGTCAGTGTGTGTCTGTATGTGTGTGTCTGTATGCAGTGGTGTATCCTGGTTTTGTGCTGCCCTAGGCATGACAAAACTCAGGCGCCCCCCCCCACGCCACCCCGCGCCACCCCACCCTGCGCCACTCCACCCTTCCCCGCCTTCTAAATACACACACACACACATTCACTGACAGACACGCATACACTAGCTAACATACATACACACTCACTAACAGACACATACAGTCACTAGCAGACACACACATTCACTAACAGACACGCATACACTCTCACTAACAGACACAGACATAGTAACACACTCCCTAATAGACACACTCCCTGACATATACACACTCAATAACAGACACACACTCACTAACAGATATACACACACTCACTCACTAACAGACACACACACTAACAGACACACACACTTACACACTCACTTTTTTTTAATTCAATCCTCCCAGCCTCCTTACCTTTGGGAATGCTGGGGGGTGGGTTCTCCTTTTTCCCTGGGGTCCAGTGGAGCTGCTGGGCGGGCGGGCGGCGCTGGCAAGGGAGCAATAATTAGTGAGCTGTCTGCTCAGCTCCCTTGCGTGCCGCAGGGTGATGCCGGGAGATGGAATATGACACATGCCCGACTGGATTTTTAATTAGCTACCAGGCCCTGGGCATTTGGGGGCATTTGGGGGCGGCTTCTTTTGCCGCCCCCTGGAAAATGCCGCCCAAGGCAAATGCCTTGTTTGCCTCACAGCTAATATGTCCCTGTCTGTATGGGTCAGTGTATGTCTGTATGTGTATGTCTGTATGGGTTAGTGTGTGTCTGTATGGGTCAGTGTATGTGTGTATATGTGTGTCTGTATGGGTCAGTGTGTGTCTGTATGAATTAGTGTGTGTCAGTGTGTGTATGTCTGTACGGGTGAGTGTGTGTCTGTATGGGTCAGTGTGTCTGTATGAGTCAGTGTGTGTCTATATGTGTGTGTATGTATGGGTCAGTGTGTGTCTGTATGTGTTTGTATGGGTTAGTGTATGTCTGCATGGGTCAGTGTGTGTGTCTGCATGTATCAGTGTGTGTCAGTGAATGTGTCTGCATGGGCCAGTATGTGTGTCTGCATGAGTCAGTGTGTTTGTGTGTGTCTGCATGGGTCAGTTTGTGCTCATCAGTCTGCATTCATCAGTGTGTGTGTGCGTCAATCTGCCTGGGTCAGTGTGTGCGTCAGTCTGCGTGTGTCAGTATGTGTGAGTCAGTCTGTATGGGTCAGTATGTGAGAGACAGTCTGTATGGGTCAGTATGTGTTTGTCAGTCTGCCTGGGTCAGTGCGTGTGTCAGTCTGCATGGGTCAGTGTGTGTGTTTCAGTACGTGTGCGTCAGTCTGCATGAGTCAGTGGGTGGGTGTCAGTTTGCAAGGGTCAGTGTGTGTGTATCAGTCTGCTTGGGTCAGTGTATGTCAGACTGCATGAGTGGGTGGAGCAAATGGGGCGGCAAATATTTATTGCAATGCAAAAAAAACGGCCCTGCATGTGGGTGGTGTGTTCCTCTGTTTCTGTGTGCACTTGCCCAGTTAACCTATTCTAGGCATGCAGATTGCAACAAGCTTTCTTTCTGAAATAAGCCTACCATACACTGGCTGAGAGTGATCAGCTAATGCTCTTAGCCAATGCGCTAGCTCTGCATTGTATGGCTTAGTTCAGAATACCTAATGATTTGACCTGTGCAAAGACCTATTTATTGTGGATTCACAGTTACTACTTTCCCATAATATAGAAGGCTTCGAGGTAAAGTATTTAGGGTACTACAGAGATTAAATGCATCCTGTTGTAACTGCATGCAAAGCGTCTTGTTTGTGATTGTTGTAACTGCCCTTACTGTATGTGGACATTATCTCCAGTGTTTGAAATTTTTATGGTTTAAGCCAGATCAGTTATCATACATTATCCCACCTTAAAAGGCATTAAAATTTACAGTTTTACACGAATTAATATCCTCTGTTGTCTGCAGTACGGACGTATAAACACTATATTATATATCAAAGATAAGGTTGTTCAGTAAAACAAAATTCTGATACAAACTGTTGGACTTGCAAAATACAATTACCCAACTCATCTCTTCTGTGACTACAGTTTTCTTAAAGGAAGCTGCACCACTTCCTGTCTTGATTGCAGCGACAATAACAACTAATAAAAAGAATAGGAACATGGATGCATTAAAATAGCATGTTAAAAAAAAAAAAAAAACTTTAATCCTTTTACTACTAATTTTTTTTGCCCAAAACTGGCAAGGTTTTAGAGTGTCTTTGAAAGCAAATCAAAACAATTAACAGTATTAAAAATGAAACTAACATGTATAGATTGCTGTGCTCTAACTTTAATAAAATGAAACAGTTCACCTTTAACACACGCTGCAAAATCACTGAGCATCTAAATGGATTGGCTGAGCTGTGCCAGTCAGAAATATTGTTTAATTTACTCTCAATTAATTATTTAGAAATAATGTGTTTTTTGCTATTTTTTATTGTTTGCTTATGGGAAGCTCATTTCTTCCATTGTACTTTGACCTTGTAAAATTCTTTAGGCTTGCACATGATCCAGCCTGAATTCCTTGATTTGAACAAGCTACATGGTTAGTTTCATAACCTGGCTGCGTGTTGGAGACCAAGATGGGTATATTTCTATCTATATACTCTGCTTGATCTAGGCCAGGCTGTGTGAGCTGGTTGTGGTTGCTGATCTGGTTGCAGTGGCTGACCTCACAAACTGGTAAGACTTACTTTAAAGTGACTTTGAGTTTGCATGTGGCAGAAGAGGAGAATCAAGGATCACAGCAGTATTTATTCAGTTGTGCAAATTGCAATATAACATCAGCAGGCCTTTTTATTTACTATACAGATAGTTTGAATTCTATGTAAAACCATATACAAACAGTTAACGCATGGAAGTTTTGAAGTTAAAGATATCATATTTATCCAGCCTTTCTCCACACACCCCTCCTAAATCCCCTAAATACAAGCTCTTATCCCCAACATTTATATCTTACTCCCACCTTCTCTTCCTTTCCATCCTACTACTCCTAGCAGTTGGTGATATCTCTCCAAACCCTGGTCCCTCCACTACTCAGCCACCTGGTACAAACACCAGAAACCACAACAACCTAATACCCATTCCATGTAATTCTCACTATAATTCCTCTTTTAAAGCTGCACTCTGGAATGCACGCTCTGTGTGCAGCACCTTTAAATCTACTTCCATCCATGACCTATTTATCTCACACTCCCTAAAGTGTGTTATGCATTAAAAATATGTAGAACAATATAAGGAAAAGGAGACGTCAGGTATTTACCATGTCCAAAATGTGTCTGCTCTTTTTAACCCATAATCCTATATTTGCTGAATTGCTACTGTTGTTACAAACTGTATCATTGTAATCCCCTAGTAAGTTTTACGACATAGGTTGGTAAAATGCATCACATGGATACAATGATATCACACACCGGTGGATTCAGCATTCTATAGATGGAGCCAAATGTGCGAATTAGATTGAATATCTTTTTTTTTTTTAAATGCTACCTATACCAGGGGTAGTCAACCTTTTAATACCTACTGCCCACTTTTGTATCTTTGTTGATGGTAAAATGTTCTACCGCCCACCAGTGCCGTGATAACTAATTTTATAGCGCAAGTGCATTTTGTTTTGTTTTTTATGCAAATTTATTAAATGTATCTAAATGTATCTATTTTTCTCCTTTTTTCTATTTTCTATCATACTTTTTTTTCTATGTCTGTGTGTAAGGTGCTGTTTGTGTTTGTGTGTGAAGGGTGCAGTGTGTGTGTGAGTAGTGCTGTGTTTGTGTGTGTGTGTGTGTGTGTGTGAGGGGGTAGTATGTGTGAAGGTTGCTGTGTGTGTGAGGGGGGGGCAGTGTGCGCATGTGTGAGGGGGCAGTTTGAGTGTGGGGTGGAGTGCATGAAGGGTGCTGTGTGTGTGGAGGGCAGTGTGTGTGTGATGGGTGCAGTGTGGGGTAGTGTTTGTATGTGAGGGGTACAGTATGTGTGTAAATGGTTCAGTGTGAGTGTGTGTGTCTGAGGTGCAGTGTGTGTGAGGGATGCTGTATGTGTGTTTGTGAGGGGTGCAGTAAATACATGGGTGGCAGTGCGTGTGTTTGTGAGGGTGGCAGTGTGTTCCAGTGGTGATGTGTGTGTGAGTGGTGTGTGTGTGTGGGGGGGGGGCAGAAGGGGGGAAGTCTGTGTGTGTGAGGAGACGGTGTGTGTGTGTGAGGGGGAAAGTGTGTGAGGGGTGCAGTGTGTGTGATGGGGCACGGTGTGTGAGGGGTGCAATGTGTGTGTGTGTGTGAAGGTGGCAGTGTGTGTGTGTGAGGGGTTCAGTGTGTCTGTGAGGGGGCAGTCTCTCTGTGTGTGTGTGTGAGGGGTGTAGTGTGTGTTTGTGTGTGTGAAGGGTGCATAGAGTCTGTGCTGTGTGTAGGTGGGTGAGATTTGAAAATCTATCTTAATGTCTCCCCCTCCCTTCTTCTTACTTTACCAGAGAGGGGGCACATAATGATGCAAGCCCTGTTGGTCCAGTGGTGGCATGTTCACTTTAGTCTGCAGCTCCTCTGGCTACAGGCTGACTCTCTTGTCCTCTTGCGAGCACAGCACTGTATTGGAGCATTGCCATGGTAACGAGCGGCAACACTGAGACCTGCCTTCTCACAGGAGAAACACAGAGTCTTCTAGGCCCTTCCCTCCCTCTGCTGGAACGAAGTGCCAGCGGCCCGGTGAAGGAGATACTTGATCTCCTCACCAGCCCGAGAGGGCTTATAGCAAGGCTGGCTCTGCCTTGGCCCATGGCCATCGAGACACACCCACCACCACCCACCTGAAATACCAAACCACCCACTAGTGGGCGGTAGGGACCAGGTTGACTACCCCTGACCTAGACTGTTGCTATAATAGGATGTAGGACTGGAGGCAAGTATTTGTAGACCAAAGGTAATAAATGGTTTCTACACGGGTCAAATGCCAAAAGAGTTTGCAACCAAATGCATAATAGTATTTTGCCAGAAACAGAGAAAGAGAAAACAGAGACAGCACTGAAATCCACCAGAGACGCTTCTGCAGCACAGGCCGAGTAAACTTCAGTCATGTGACATGGAAGCTTCACAGAAAAGCATGCATGCGTATTAGGTCCCCAATGCTCCTCTATCAGGAGGGGCCTCCAATGTGAGGAGAGGTCACCAGCTCTGAGGGGTCCTCAGCGAAGGAATAAGGTAAGTTAAACTTTTTTTTATATATATATTTTGCACGGGGGGAGTTATTTAGCGGTAGGGAGAGAGTCACTACAGCATTAGGATAACAGGTTTGTATCACTAACGGTATAGTGTTGTTACATCCAAGAATCCAGAATATGCATGAAGATATAATTACAATGCATATTCTGGATTCTTGTATGTAAGTACCTACATTCTCAATCTATGTCATTTTTGTTACTCTCCTACTTATAGTACCATCTTTAATTTTTTTTTCTCTTTCTTAGACTTTGGCTGATCCTTACAGAGAATAATTACAACCTGTCAGGATCGACACAGGGACAAGCCGAGATTGAGGGAGCCAGAAAACAGGTAAACGAATTAACAAGCCGAGTCAAAGGGAAGGAGAATACAGAATAGTCAAAATCAGAGCCAAGTCAAATACCAAGAAACCAAACCAGAGAAAGCACTATAGGAACAGACAAGCTAGAACCCACGACAGGGCAATGATTCATTGCAAGTGTGTACTTTTTATAGGTTGGCTCTTTAAGTGATGACCACGCCCTCAAAACGTCCTAATTCGAAAGTTTTGGTGGGCCGTGATGTCATCGAGCTACCGTGGCTGGCGTCTGAACGGCCAAGATGAGAGGAGGGAATGGAAGAAGTTACCCCATCATGTGGGAGAAGACACACAGGCTGGATTCCTGCCAGGGCAGAAATAACAGGTACCCTGACACAACCCTCTGGAAGAATGTTGTCTATTTTCTTTTATTTTCTTACCCTAATCAGTCATGTGTATTATCCGCTCTCTCATGTCGCTTTAACCCCCGCTCAATTTCTGCTCAGAAATGCTTTAGGGTAGAAATGGCAGTATTTCCCTAAAAATTGTTAGTCCAATAAAAAGCATAATACAATGAACTAATTTAATGTTACTTTACACCTGCATCACTGGACTAACATGGCTACTATTTTTGTTTCAACACTGTAGGGGTTATTTACTAAAATCTGAATGGCCCAGTATCAAATGGGGCAAAAAGACTAGACTGCATATGAGGCAATTCAGACAGCAAAATCCAGACATTGATCATGCAATTCAATATGCCCAGATTTTCTAATTCAGGCTCTGAATGACTGATATCCAGAGTTTGTTGTGTGGGAATTTGGAGATTTGGATGCTTCTGAATTGCCCAGTTTATCCAAATGGACTGAAATTTAAATGGTTGCATCGTGTCACTGCAATCTTCTATTAGGTCTTCACACAGTTTTACTGGTTTGTCTGGCCCTTATATAACACCTAGTGCTGTACAAATGGCCTGCCTTTTGTTCAAAACACCAGTAGTCTTGGTCTTGTACTAAGTCATGTCTAAAGTTTTGATATAAGGTTGGGAAAGCTATATATTCAACCACATATTTGGCTGATGGTTGTGCCGTACCATTGAAGAAACTCAGGCTGCAAGGCAAATAGCACAGCGGTATCAGATGGTTGAAGTAGCTCCAAGAGATACCTGGTGGAAGAGACACGGGATGGACACAATAGCAGTTACTGGTATAGGATCAGATATCTCAGGGATCAGAGATTAGACACCCTCCTCCCATTACAGGTGGCTTTCCTAAAATTAAAGATCTGCATCACGAAGATATACCAATCTTGGTGCACTGCCATGAAAACTGCAGGACTGTGGTAGTTATGGCATACAATCACATAACTGATCATTTTTTACATAAAATATCTTAAAGCTTTTCTTTATACCGTTGTTTCTCTGCTGTGGTTACTCACCAGCAAATAGCACTGCCAACTCTTTCAAACTCATAATAACAAGTGATGAGTCCATTCTAAGAAAGCATGCTGCCCCATCTTAGTTCTCAGTCCAAGCAATGACTCACATATCACTCATGATCAGGTGAGCACAGTATCACAGCAATTCAATCAGAGTGCTATAAAACAAATACGCTGACTCCTTTCATTTAAACAATGGTCATTCTGCTTGCTTGCTTCAAGACCAAGGTGACTTTATTTCTCCAACTCCATTGGTAGTCAAAACAAATGGAAGTACGTTGTCACTTTGTGAACTAGATATATTTTAGTTATTAAACAGCCTAATGAATTAAACTGTTCATAAACTAGCAAAGCAACCTCATGACATCCTTTGCACTGGCTCATAATAGCTGGCTGTATTCCTGGCTTCATCTTGATAACACTGTATTTGGTTCTCATTCCTTGTTGTAAATGATGGATACAATAAATATATCTTGTCACTGTTTTCTGTAACCTACTGCAAGTTAGTATCATGGTTAACTCCCTTTTGGCAATAGAAAGTAGTTGGCTTATATCCAAAGATACAGCTAAACAAACGTCTTGTTTATGAATGTCAGATTCCTCCGAACAAACCTCATCTGCAATGATGATAAAATAGGTTTTTTATTATGCAAACAATAAAACAACTGCAAGAACATAAGCCACACACAACTCACAATATATTTGTTTACAGAACAGAAAATGCAAACATTAAATCTTACATATCACTATATTGTAATTCAAAGGACGACTCTTTACTAAAATAACATTAGTTGTGAAGAGGTGCTGTCTAGAATCATTGTCGGTATTGGTGAATGCTGTTAATTGCATACGTTCTTTCCTAATGCTGTTGTAAAAAAAGGTTAATTGAGAAGGATCTGAGTTTGTTTGTGTATGTATGGGAAGATGTTACATTATAAGACTGCGGAAGGGGTTAATTCATTACTATAGAAGTTGATAAAGGGGTTAATTAATAATACTATGGAAGTGGATAATTAATATGCCCAGGGATAAGATGATTACTTGATATTACTAAGAGTGGGGTTTGTAATATTCCCCAAATAATATTTGTGTTTCCCGAATTCTCATACTACTGTTTACATAATGTGTTTTTTTTTTAATGATTTACCATATATACTTGTGTATAAGCCAACTTTTTCCGCACATTTTTTATGTTGAAAAAGCCCCCCTCGGCTTATACTCGAGTGAGGGTCCCACTTACCTGTTCTCCAGTGCAGTGCGGGTGTTCTCCGGTCTCTCCCGCTCATCTGCGGGCGCCTGCAGCCTCCAATCAGGGAAACCAAAATGCTTCTCTACAGCTGGTTCCTTACATGCATACACACTTCACGTAACTGCGGTAGGAATGCCCACCTGCTGACAAGCACTCCTTTGCGTCACAATAGCAACCAGGACACGCCAACCAATGCAACCCAGCAAGCTTGAAAAATACACAATCATAGATATTTATGTATATATTTATTAATAAAAAATAGTAATTTAGGCATAGGGAAGGTCTTTTATTCATTATGTATGTTTTTAATCTCTCTTAATGTTTTGGGCAATTGATGCTGCCAGAGAAAAACCCCATCTTTTCCATCTAATGGGTTGCTTGTGCATAAAATATTTTTATAAATCAATGTAATGTTAAGAGATATTTGAAAAATCTACTAAGTTACAGTGGAAAGACTTAGAAATATAATGTGAGAGATGTAGGCGTACATAGCCTACTAAATAAGAATGTGAGCTGAGAGAAGATTACTTGATGATTACTTGATCATAGAAAATGTAACCCACTGATGCCTCAATTAATGTAATTTTATTGGTATCCATTTTTATTTTTGAAATTTACCTACAGCAGCCTTATTTAGGTATTGACAATTTAGTCTAAAAGCAACAAAAACCTGCTAATTCGTAATCCTGTATGACCCTTTCTTCTGTTTCTCAAATGTGATGAAACAGGCTACCAATGGTTTAACTGGCTCTTGGGTCTAATATGGACTCAAATCATTTGCAAACAACTCAATACCTAACTAAAAGTTTGCAATCGGTTGCATTTTCATTAAATGTAATTTACATAATATGCCATCATATGCCAAGGCAATGTGAATCACAATGCTCTGATAGTGAAAACAGTGCTGGCAGGATATATCATCAGTAGTGATGTCCTGAACTGTTCGCCGAACGGTTCGCCGAACGGTTCGCCGAACGGTTCGCCACGAACGGTTTGCGCGGACTCCAGTCAGCTGACACATTCCAGCCAATCAGCAGCAGACACTCCCTCCCAGACCCTGCCACCTCCTGGACAGCTCACTAAGAATGCAGCTTCAAAATGGATGCTGTCCAGGAGGTGGGAGAGTCTGGGAGGGAGGGTCTGCTGCTGATTGGCTGGAATGTGTCAGCTGACTGGAGTCTGTGGCGAACCGTTTGTGGCGAACCGTGGCAGACAGTTCGCGAACCGTTCGGCGAACAGTTCGGGACATCACTAATCATCAGCCATTTCAATGTTACCGACTAGCTTTTGAAGAGGAAAATCCCTTAAAAACAGAATCTATAATACTGCCTTGATGTGGAAAATTTTAATTTTTAAGTTGTTTTTTTCTCCAAGCAAACCCTCAAAATATCTGGACTACAATGAATAATTGACTAAGGGAGATGGGAGCCAAATCATATGGTTATAGTAAGGGTTACCTAAGTAAGGGCATCTTTCTGAAACAGAATGCACTATGGCCTAGCTCCTCCGCAGACTATTTACCCTATAGAGACCAGCATTACTGTCAATTGGATCAGAGTGACATGCATTGGAATGTCAGCAGGAACAGCCCAGCTCCTGTTCTTTGTGACCAGGTAGTGCTTCATTCTCTCATGTAATGTTCTGGTAAGTGATTGGTGTGAGTCAGAAAGGCCTGCTGGGAAAATGCACTTTTCATTAGCTATGCTAAAAAATGATTTCCCAAACAGAGAACCATGAGATTTGGGGAAGCCTTTCTAAACAGCAAAGCATTTATAGAATTAACACCTTTATTCAAATATATTTCTAATAGTTTGTTTCTTATTTGGTATTATTTTCCTACATTAATATTTTTAAACACTGCACAATATGTTGGTGCCATATATATAATAATAATAATAATAATAATAGCAGTATTATGAGTGAGCTGAAGATGAATGCATGCATATAGATAATTTCCAAATACTGCAAGTTAAATGCAAGTAAAATACATTCATTATTACTAATCTGAGACCACACAGCAAGAGGCATTATAAATGTCTTACTTATTTATCTTAATGCCATTCCTAAATGAAAACCTGTTAAATCTAGTAAATGTGTTTTATCATAAGAATAGAATGTCAAAAAGAGTTGTGCAAAAATGTGTAGCCTGCCTTTACAACATAGCCCATGTAGAAACAAGTTTGTTAAGGAAAAGTTAAATTCCCCACATTCTTTCAACTTATGGGGAGTAGCAAAGGATATTATGACTAGCAGGGGTGTAAACATCTCTTCCTGAAAAATAATACTCACAGTGAACTGATAGTACAAAATTATAAAGCGAGCTCAGATCATTTTATTAAAGAAACAAATGTACGATTTTTCCCTTTGTTATGTTGTTTGTACCCATTGTGAAATATTTAATTTCTGGAAGAATTATACCACAATAGAAACAAGGGAAGCTCTAGAGTATTTACATGCTCCATGACTGGTATGCTCCACCTCATTTGTGCCATCACTTGTGCCAAAGTGCCACTCCAGGTGTTCTGTTGTTCCAGGAAAAGTGTTTGTTTTGTATTGTAACATCTGATCAAATGTTTTTATATTAAAAATGGGGAAAATTCAGAATAGATACTATAGTCCGAGTAGACCTGACATTTTTATGCAAGCTATTCTGTCTAACCGTGACACACATAATGGTGTCATTTATTCATAAATCCTAATTTCTAATTCTTGTGTTTTCATCTCATTGAGATTTTAAAAAAATATATAAAATAGAAGGTACAGTATTGCTTTATTATTTTTAGCATTCTCTCCAAAAACTTTCAGTTAAAATTTAACTAATACATTTTTCAGTGTCAGACACAAAAGACTATCCACTCTCATCCTTTAGATGTGGTACAACAGACATAGTATCTTCTTGATAGTATATATCTTCTGTTGTCTTTGGAGGGAGGTCACTAGACTTCAAGCATGGGCATTGGAAGATCTGCGATTCTGACAAATTTGGGTCAATCTGTGATTCTGAAGAAAAATCGAACTCTGAGAAGAAATTTTAACTAATCCTGAAACTAAATGCCTAAAGCTGTCAAAATAGAATTAGGTGATAACTATTTGCCCGCTGGCAGCACTAGCAGCCAACAGGTAAATAGGTAAAACTGCCTGTGGGTGTCAGTATGGCCGATACATTATCACAACAGATGTCTTATACCTCCCCTGTCTGTTAAACAGCGAGCAGCCAGTGACTGCTTGCTGTAATAAAAGACTAGCAACTGGACACCCCTAGACACCCGGGGGGAGCAAACTTAAGGACAATTTAAAAATATATGCATAAAGTTTGGCATTAATATTTAATAGAAGAAATGTGTGACGGGTTATACAAGGTTTGGTACAGTGACTATTGTCACTATTAACCACTCAAAAAAGTTTGTGCAAACAAGGTGATAAAATATCTGTATGCAATTTTTTATATTTATTAGAAAATCCACCAGGTCCCAGTAATCAGTGAGGAGGAAAAGCACATATGGTTTGGAGTGGCTCTTGTCAGTTTTTTATTAAACCAGACCAATGCTGGCAATGTGCCTACATTAATGTCAGGAATGAATATCTATTCCGGTGCTCAAATAAGATCTGTGGTAGTCTACACATGTTTATGTCGTCTATCAAATTTCTGTAAAAACACACACAGCTGAGCCTGACCTTGAATTTCATCCTGGTATTTTGCTGGCAGCCCTTCTTCATATGCACTGCTGACCAATACATCGGTATGGGTTTCTTTCTTCCTATATCGAAGCTTTGTGATTTCTGCTTTCTTGACCTTGCTTCTAGTTTTGACTTCTCCAAGCCCTTAGCTTATCTGTGTTTTTGCCAGAATTTCACCTGTTGCAAAGTATAAGTCAACATTATCTTGGACACGGGTGGCCAAAAGGTAGATCCTTAGATGTTGTAGAACTACAACTCCCATGATACTTTGCATGTCCGTAGAATGACAAAACAACATGGAACCTGTAGTTTTAAAACATCTGGGGATCCACCTTCTGGGCACTCCTGATCTAGGAGATATCTTTATTTTACCAGTCACTCAAAGGTCTTCTAATATTTTCTACACCTTTAATTTCCTTTTATTTCCCTGTATAATTGATTCATCTTCTCGCAGTCTTTACCATTCACATGGTGCAGTTAAACTCAACAGGCAAGCAATTCCAAAGAATTCTAATTGAGCTGCATTAGGATGTCTGTGATTGGACAGCCTCAGAATGTCTGGATTGATGCTGAGTTAGAAGTGGAGGGCTTGCAAATGCTTCGGTACAAGAGAACCGCAGCTTTTACAAATTGGTTTTAGATATACTCACTACTGAGAAATGCATTGCGATGAAAGTAACCTCATCATTGGCTTTTGTAGGGGCCTGTTTGCCAGCCTCCTACCCTGTGACTATGGCCCCTGTGTTAAATCCTGGTTAGAACCACTTTCGAAGGGGCACTTCGAACTCCCAAACTTCCGAAGACATTCAAAGTGCCATTCGAACATGTGGCCATCTTGTTTAGTCGAACGCATCCAGCGGTGTTTGGTCGTCGAGTGGAACTCATGGAACTCAAATCGGACACTTGACGGCACGAACACCGCTAAACTTTTACCTTCCATGGAGGTTCGGCTATTCGAATGGGAGTCGAACGGTGTTCGGTAAAAACAATCTCACAAACAAGAGACACATAACGACTATATCCACGAATGGCTACGTTCGGTAATTCGAACGGTATTTCGACTATTTGAAATAGACCGGCCGCACAGCCTCATTTTCTGGAACTGTTTTGGGCATGAAACCACGCGTGCGGTCGGTCAAAAAGAGACTTCCAGGAATTTCCTAAACCCCTGCTCTGATCTGGGTGATTTGAGGATATGTTGGTCACCCAGATCAGGGCTATTAGGGGATGTAATATTTGTGGGGATTTTATGTGGTTTTGGATTTCTTATGGGACTTTGAAAAATATGTGTGTTTTTCTGCCTGGAGATAATTGGGTTAATACAGTATCTGACTCAATTATCTCACAGGCAGAGGGGAGGGATTGTATGTTTGTTATGGGAGTGTCATACATTTAATTACTGTTCTGATTGGTTTGTAAACTTTGTGGCCCTGTCCCCAACAAGGTCCATGTGGACATACACCTTGCTTGGGGACTTGCATAAAAGGCGAGCTGCGGCTTCCATTAAAGAGATTCGTTTACCCCTTCATGAAGTCTTGGCTCATGTTTGGGAGATTGGAGAACTACATTCACTCTGGGGATTGCTATATCACAATACTCGCCTGAATATAATCACTAGCTCTAACTGTTCCTGCTACGCCCTCTGGATTAGGAGAGGTGTACCCACTGGAAGCTGGATCCTAGTCTTGGGTTCAGGGTGGGTGGAGGACGGCGAGACCCCAACCAAGCTGCAGGGGTTTTGTGGGGTTTACAGTGGTTATGGTGTTCCAGTGCAGTGCTTATGGTACTCACAAGTACTAGGAAGCAGCGATTGACCCGGTTGGAGTGCCAGGCAGTCCGTCACATGCATGTTCTAAATGTGTCCCAATTCCACCTTTTTTCTGTGTATACTTTGAATCCAGACCAGATTCTTATTTGGCTGAGCACCCTACCCATCCACTTAAGGTGCTCCTTTGGAGGTGACCACAGGAAAACATAATTTGAGGAGAGTCTCTAGAAGCAGTTTGAACAGTAAGTATTTAGATTAGTATGTAAATCTCCAATGTTAAAATTGGCATAGGACCCACTGATATTGGGGTAGTGGGACATAGTGGTGGGCTTAACACAATATGGACATATGGTGTAATTTAATCCACATATATTTGTTTGCTAAGATATGTGATTTTAAAAAGCCTTGTATTTTGTTTGTGTGCGCTGTTCCTTAATCAATATTTTTTATATATTTTGGTCTTCACAGCAGCACCACTACTGAAAAATGCATATTACATGTGTGCCCCCAATTCCACCTTTTTCAACATACTAGTCATACCCAGGGCCAGATTAAGAGCCCAGTGGGCCTGGTGCTGACAATCATGACGAGCCTAATTACAGAATCATATTGACCAAAAACACTAAAACACTTCCAAGTATCATGTATCTGATGGAGATGGTGCTGGAGAGAAAGAAAACAGCAGCTATAAGAAAACACATACCCTAGGCTAATCTCTCTCTA